GTACCTGTGTCACAGCTCTGTTGGGTGGCCAGGAGCAGAGCTGGGCACTGGATGATGAGTAAGTGGAATAGTAGGTCTGGCAGGAGGTGAGTTAGGAGGAGCTCCTCCTGCTCCCACTACCAACTTCTCTGGGCTCCAGCTGGACCCCTCCAGCAGCAGAGGACCAGACTGCCTGAGAAGATGCCACACTTTGTGCTGAGAAGCCAGAAAACCACCCTCAGACTGCCCTCACCAGGGTGGTATCTGATACACATACTTTTGACAAAATAAAAATTTTTTTTTCAAACAAAATCAAGGTGAAATCTACCTGGATACCTTTGTCTGCATTTAGTTGCAAACTGGACATAATTTTTTTCTAGATTATGGTTAAACTAGTTTAACCTCTCAAATGACTACTCTTTTTCAGTTAAATGAGTCCATTTTACCTCTTCAGCTGAAGTTTGGTTGTGACACCTGTCAGCTCTGGGCACTTTCATTTTCAAAACAAAGACTTTTTGTGAACCAGCCTTACACAATCCAAGAGCATGGATACCATGCTGAAAAGAGAGGATGCCATTTTCCTAGCAATGACAAGAAGTTGGCTTTTCCATGTGAATTAGCAACTTAAGAAATAAACACTAAGGCAGAGAAGATTTACCAAATCTTAAAAAGCACAGCCTGTGTGCCTTTTCACTATTTTTCCATGTTTAGCTAACATGAAGTTAGACCACAGCTTTTTTTTTTTCCTCATGAATGCAAGACTCAAGGAATTTATGTTTATTCCAGGGAAGATCTCTAGGAAATGTGTATGTGAACTAACCTTGGGTGTGACCCCTCCATTCAGAATTCATCATATGTTTTCTATTAAAACAAAACCCTCTTGACACTGTAATTCTCTCTTCTTCCATTCTGAATCCACAGCTTGTGACTGAAACCACTTCCCACACCTTGCAGAAGGTGCGTAACTCCGGCTTTCCCACACGTTCCCCAGGCAAACTCATTTTGGGCTCTCCAGGCAAAAATCTGCAGCACAATTCAGAACAAGCAAGAAATAAATAGCCAAAAGAACACTCGTAGTACTGTTTATCATCAGAGTTAGCACAGTAAAAATCTTGGCTTTCAGTTTACTCAAATTTAACACAGAGAGCAGGCACTGTAAGGAGAGGGAATATCCTCCACTTTTCTAAAACACCGTTTCTTGAACAACAAACCTTTTTTTGCTCATTTTTAGTTCCTGCTTGGTAGTCAAAATCTTGTAAGGACTGCGTAAGGTCAGTCTCTTAAAAACACACCTCACTTCAGGCCTTTCTAAGCACAGATAGGAGTACCTGTAGGCACACTGGGCCACATGCAAAAGACCTGTGCTCCTGCATGAAGAGCTTCCTGCTGCTCCAGGCCTCTGCAGGCTCCTCACCAGCTTCCTGCCGAGGACACCCCAGTGCTTCCAGTGCCATTCACACGCCTCAGGGCACCCAGGATAACACACCTCCCCAGCTAGAGTACTGGGAATCCCAGTGTGGGTGCAGACCCACAAAAACAGACTCCATCCAAGGAGAAAAGCATTAAGCTCTTTAGTGGATCCTGTTTTACCTATTTTTTCCCACTTTCTGGGGTAGCCCAGCCTCCTATTGACCTAGATAATGGGAAGATGATTATTCATTTGAATTTCAAAAGAACGAGTAGTGGGGCTGTTAGCTCTAACTGCTGCACTCTAATAGGAATATACATGCACACACACAATTATTGAACTGCTTTTAGAACATAAAATTATTTAATTTTAACAGTAATATCTACTTATTTATGTACATGTTTAATCAGATTTCTAAAATCCTCGAGATTTTTTTTTTGTTTTATAGAGTGTGGCTATTATTTTCAGTGTGTTTTCAGCTTCATTATCTTCCTAGCACTACCCTTAAAATACAACAAAAACCAACCAAAACATAACATGAATAAGCATGAGAAACCAGTAATGTTGTTTATATTTAACAGATCACTTTTGAGGAAAAATTGAAATGCTGCCAAGGCATTCAGAAAATGAGATATAACACAAAAATAGAAAAATTGGATTTACAAAAATTACATGATGCCCATAGCATTAATACACATCTTCACAGGGACACACATGAAGGAAATGAAATATCCCAGAAGTCTGGTGTAATGACAGTGGATTCAAATGACAACAAAGCTTTATTAAAAATGATCTTGCCTGATCTTAATGTGTCAAATGTCAGATTCTGTCACCCTGGCATATTGAGTCCCAGTCTTATCAATATTGATTATATGCCCTCCATTGCAATTGAGAGAAATTTTTCCAAAATAGTTTATGGCTTTTGTAAAATTATTTGAGAAAGAATAGCAGTACTTTGTGAAAATTCATCAATTTTATTCACTTCACAGGAAATAAAGATTCAATTTTCATTTCATCAGCTCGAATTTTATGCAACTATATGACACAATGAAATCTCCCATAAATGCCAACAACAAATTAAAACATTTTGACACTTTTCATTTTGCAAAATTACACCCTTATTTCTATCTGGATTTAAAATACATGTAAAACTGCAGAATCTCCCACCATGTATCTGAATACTGGTACTTAGAGAGGAATACTAAGAAATAGGGTTAGGTGAGACATTGGTATTCTGCTGTCAACCTAGTGAAGGTCCCAGCAGTACCAAAGCACCTACACACTCCGGGGACTCCTGTCCACGTCATCATTAAAAGAAACACCCTCTCAATTTTTACAAAATCCTGCTGACCCAAAAGGCTCTATCTACAGTGTGCCCAGTCTGAGTGAATCCTCACCCAGATGGGGCAGGAAGTGCCAAACTCATTCCTCTGGGAAGGAATGCCCTGTGCTGCCAACAGCCCTGCCCGGAGAGACCACAGCTGACCGCAGCTGCGACAGGAACTCAGGCACTCCCTCCCAGAGGTACTGCACCCTCTTCTCATGTGGTTTCTCTAAATTTTAACATTTTATGTCAGGTTGAGAGGCCTGCCAGTCAAATTTTCCATTTTATCCCCTGTGTCTTAAAGGATAGACATTATTATGGAGCTAGATTGTACCACGGAGTGCAGTCAGAGGGAGAGAGAGCTGGCAAAAGCCTCAGAGCAGAAATCAAGGCTGGGCACAGTCATGGAGAGGCACAGCACTATTTTTCAAAATCCATCTTCACAATGAAGTAACTGAACCTTCTTCAGCTATGCCCTTTTCCTTCCCTCTGCTCTGTACACCCAGCTGGGGTCGGGCAAGAAAGGTGACATAACACCATGTATCTGCCTCAAATGTATCCTTCAAGCTCCAGCTGACTCCTGACAAGTGCAACTGAGACCTGGCAGCCCTAACCTGTCCCTACAGCTAAAAGAAGTGTGTGACGTTTCCAGTTTTTTGGTTTTGTTCCTGTCACAGCTCTGGCCACTCTGCAGCCCTATGATATCAGAGTCACATCATCCAAACAGTCATTTTGCCGTAGTCTGAGGAAAATGACCCACTGGGATAATTAGAGGATGATGTACCATGGGACCTACTGCCCCATTAGCACCAGTTCATAGGACGTGCTCGGGCAGAGGAGAGGCTGTGCTCATTCCTCTCACTGCCATTATGTCCATACACAGACAGCAACCATCACAAAACCTATTAAACTTTCCCTTATCTAATAACTGCAAACGGTAGCTGGAAAAGCACAAAGGAACACATAAAACAGTATGTGAACTAATTTCCAGCATACTTTTTGCAATTAAAATGACCACAGGTGCGTAGCACACTGTCAACCTTTGGATTACAGATATTCTGTGATAAAATCAAGCATGGGATTATCCGGATAGGTGTATCCACTACAGTGTCCTGAATAACTTGGTGCTTCCGAGAAAACACACAAACAAACAAACAAACAGAAAATCATCACTGTTCGATGCTTTCTGTATATTTTCACGCTGTACTTTGGGGAAGGTGCCTTTATCCTCTGCCTACACCACGCGGTAAGTGCCTCCAGGTGGGTGCGACGATTCTCACGTCCCTCCTGCGGACAGCCCGCGCCTCCCCGGGGCCAAGGGGACCTCCCCCACCGCGGTCACCGCCGACCGGCGGGCCGGGGCCACCGAGGCACCGTCCGCATCCGCGGGGAACCGGGAGCGCACCAGGCTCTACCCTGCGTTCCCCCAGCCCCGTTCTTTACCGACCAGACACCGAAACTTGCCCCGGGAGGACCGAGGCGCCTGCGGGGGTTCAGGGGAGCAGCCCCGCCGCGGAGGGGAAGCGGGGCCATGTGCAGAGAGCGCCGTGCCCGCCGCGATCCGCCCGCACCCGCGGCGGGGCGGCTCCGCTCCCGCTCCGGGGCTGCCCCCGCAGTAGCCGCGGAGCGCCAGCGCCCCCTGCCGCCCGCCCCGAGCCACGCGGGGCTCCGCGGCCCCCGGAGGCAGCGAGGCACAGGGGAGCCGCCGCCGCCGCCCCGCACCGTTCTGCACCACGACGCTCCCGGCGCCGGGGGCCAACGGACGGAGCCCCCACGGCGGCTCTGCAGACCCCCGGGCGGAGGGCCGGGCCGGGCCGGGCCGGAGCCGCTCCGCCGAGAGCCGGGCAGCGCCGGCAGCGGCGCCTCCTCCCCGCGCGGGGGGTGTGTCAGCGCCCGGCCGGGGGGGCGTGGCGGCGGGCGGTGCCGAGCGGCGCCATTGGCCGGCGGCGGCGGTGATGTCACCCATATGAGGCGCTGATAACGCGCGAGGCGCGGAGCCGGGAGTTTCGCAGAAGGGGCAGCGCGCGCAGGGCGGGCGGCGGCGCGAGGCCGGGGACGGGCACAGCGCGCGCCCAGCGCTCCAGCCCAGCCGCGCCCGACCCGGCCCGGCCCGGCCCCAGCGCCGGCGCTGCGGTGCGGGCGGCACAGCCACAGCGCCCGCCCGGCCCCGCCTCGCTGCGCCGCGCACACGGGAGCTCGCAGCAGGGGCAAGGTGCGGCGGTGGGAGGGGGCGGCGGCGGAGAGGCTTTGTTGGCTCGGAGGGGAGCGGCGCCTCGGCGAGAGCCCACCATGGTGCAGCAGGCGGAGAGTACGGAGGTGGAGAGCAACCTGCCCCGGGAAGCGATGGACACCGAAGAGGGCGAGTTCATGGCTTGCAGCCCCGTCGCTTTAGACGAGAGCGACCCGGACTGGTGCAAAACGGCGTCGGGGCACATAAAGAGACCGATGAACGCGTTCATGGTGTGGTCTAAGATCGAGCGGAGAAAAATCATGGAGCAGTCCCCGGACATGCACAACGCGGAGATATCCAAGCGCCTGGGCAAGCGGTGGAAAATGCTGAAGGACAGCGAGAAGATCCCTTTCATCCGGGAGGCGGAGAGGCTGCGGCTCAAGCACATGGCCGATTACCCCGACTACAAGTACCGTCCCAGGAAAAAGCCCAAAATGGACCCGTCGGCCAAGCCCAACGCCAGCCAAAGTCCCGAGAAAAACGCGCCCGCCAGCAGCGGCGGCAGCAAGAGCGCCAAGAGCTCCAGCAAGAAGTGCAGCAAGCTGAAAGCCTCCTCCGGCTCCTCGCCGCCCAAGCCGGGAGCCAAAACCGCCCACCACGGGGACTACGCGGGAGACGAGTACGTCTTCGGCACCCTGAAAGTGAGCAGTAAGACGGTCAAGTGCGTCTTCATGGACGAGGAGGAGGATGAGGAGGAGGACGAGGACGAGCTGCAGCTGCGGATCAAGCAGGAGGCGGAGGAGGAGGACGAGGATGAGGAGCCGGGGCCGCAGCAGCTGCGGCGGTACAACGTGGCCAAAGTGCCGGCCAGCCCCACCTTGAGCTCCTCGGCGGAGTCCACCGAGGGGGCCAGCCTGTACGAGGAGGTGCGGGGCGGCGCCGCGGCGGCGGGCGGCGGCAGCAGACTCTACTACAGCTTCAAGAACATCACCAAGCAGGGCCCGCCGCCGCCGCAGCAGCCGCCCGGCCTCTCCCCGGCCTCCTCCCGGTCCATCTCCACCTCGTCGGCCGGCAGCGAGGAGGCGGACGACCTGCTCTTCGACCTCAGCCTCAACTTCTCCCAGCACGGCCACGCCGCCGCCGAGCTGGGGGCGGGCGCCGCCGGCGGCAACCTCTCTCTCTCGCTGGTGGACAAGGACCTGGACTCCTTCAGCGAGGGCAGCCTTGGCTCCCACTTCGAATTCCCCGACTACTGTACCCCGGAGCTGAGCGAGATGATCGCGGGCGACTGGCTGGAAGCGAACTTCTCCGACCTGGTGTTCACGTACTGAGCGGGGGCGGCGGCCAGGGCGGACGGCGAGAGCGGCGGAGCTGGAGCGGCGCGACGCCGGCGATGATGATGATGATGATCATGATAATGATTAAAAAATAAGTCTTGTTTTCTTTGAAAAAAAAAAAAATCTCGAAGTTAGTTCCGAGCCCGGGAGTTGTGATTTTTTTTTAACTTTTTTTGTGTTTTTTTAATTTTTATTATGTTTGGTGATCACAACAACAACAGCAAAGGCAAATGGGACTGGGGGAAAAAAAGATACAGAAGGCGCTGTTTGAAGCTTGTCGGTCTCTGATTGAAGTCTGGAAGATGGTCTGCAAAGAAGTCTTTTGGCAGCACAACTGTTACTCAAGGGGGTTTGTGGATTTTTATTTTTTTTTCCCGTGAGAGATCTTAACGAACTGTTATGATTTTTATTTTTTTTTTTCCGAAAGGGACCATTGCAACTTTTTTTGGAGGGAGAAAACTGATGTCTTCTATGCATCCGATTCTTAACAAAGCTGCAGGGAGCTTGAAAAAATGCAGACTGTACAAACGCTTACAAATAACTGAACTGACTTAAGATCAGAGTTTACTTTTCAGATCAAATTGTTTATGGTTTTACAAATGTGATTTCTACTTGCCAACTTTTTTTTTTTTGTAACTTGTTCCCTTATACCTCCTTGATTGAATACCAGACAGCCTAGACCTCAGTACAAAAAGGTATTGAAACATTTTTGATACATAACAGACCTCAGTCTTTTTTAAAAATTAATATATTTTCAGGCGTATTTTTGTACAGTGAAAAGGGAACATTCTTGCTGTGTTTTTTCAGTAAGACTTTTCAGGCACTTCTTCCCTTTTATTTTCTTTGTTTTTCTCTGTTTTTAGCATGCAAGTTTGTTGGTACGTTACGTCCTGGTTTTAAAAGGATTAAAATTTTAAAAAATAATCCTTGCATCTAAAGGCCTTGTGGTTTAAAAAAAAGAAACAAACACTTTTTTTGTACAGCTATAGTTCAGATTTGTTCAATATTTGTAGGTAAAGATTTATTGAAAATGGTGATATAGACCTCAGAGCTGTTATCTTAGTTTAAAAGATTGTATATGTACTGTACTATAGTAGGATTTTATGTATCTCATACGCTGTGATATGTGGATGGGGCCCCAGATGGAAGGTATGAAACTGGATTCTCGATTTTAGCAAAAAAAAAAAAAAAAAGGCACATAGTTTAAAAAGTTTCTCATGTTGTGCAATATAATCTAAAGTACAGACCATCTGCATATTTTGTAGCAAATGATGGCAAAAGCAGACTTGTGCACTGTCAACATCATAGCCTGTTTTTTTTTTTTTTTAATGCTGAAAGTCTGTATCTTTACAATTTTAATAAATCAGCTGGAACTGATAGAAACTCGTATCGCAATTAGTGTCTGTAGCAGGAACGCTGGAGATGCCGTGTTGTCACCCTGGCCCGCGGAGGAGCGGTAGCTGTAGGCTGTAGTGCATGATCAATGCTAGGGGGGAGGAGAGTCAGGACTGCTTCTTTTCCTTTTTTTTTTTTTTTTTTCCCTCCTCTCGTCGCCTTTTTCCCACCGGCTTTGCTCCGCGGGGCCGGGGTTTGCTTGCTGCTTCCCCGGGGCCGCTCCGGGCAGCGGCAGCCAGGCTGGCCCCGGGCATTTTCGGCTCCGCCGCCTCCCCCCGCTCCCGGGGCGGCCCCGCAGCCGCGCTCCGGGCGGGGGCTCCGGGTGCGGGGCCGGCTGCCCGCCCGCTCGCTCTCTCTCAGCGCTGCCGGCAAGGCGACTCTCCCCGCTCGGCATGCTCCCGGTCTTCTCCCCGCTGGGCTTTTTCCTCCCCCTGTCCCGTTCGTGATGAGTAACCTGGGCCAGACTCGAGGTGGAGATGCTGAGGGTAGCGGTGCCGCATCTCCTCCGCCCCGGGCAGCGCTCGGCCCGCCGGGGAGGCACTGCCGCTCCGGAGAGCCGCCCGCTGCTCCGGGCAGGCAGCGCAGGGCAGGGGAAGGGGTACGAGCTTCGGCTGTAGCTAAGCAGACTTTGTCAGTGTGCTTTTTTTTTTTTTTTTTTTTTGACTTTAGCAGCCATCGGATTTCAGTTGTGTGCTCTGAAATAGCTGCTGATGGCAATAAACAGACTCACGAGGTGGAAGTTTGTTTCTCAAGAAGTTTACTTTTTTATCTGATAGGCATTGGTAAATTATTACTACTTTTTTTTTTTTTTCCTCCGCTAATTAATGATCCAGCTGTTTACAGGGACAATTCACTGTGCTGGTATTTTGGTGGCAACCACTGCTACAGGCTTTCAGACTTGCTGAAATGAAAATCCTGCATACGCATTTGTAAGGCATAATAAAACATAACATTAAAACCTGCATGCATGTTATGTTTAATCAAAGACAACTCTTAGGCATTTAAGTGGTGAGATATCTTACTTTAGGTTAGTTAAACTGGTAGTAAAATGATTAATATAATCTGATCTCTTTCTAATAATAATAATAATAATAAAACACTCATGATTCTAAATAAAAGTTGTTTGGCCTAAATCTTTGCTATCAGAAAAGAGATATAGCATATCTGGGAACTCAAATTTATGTCTTGCATTGTGATAATTCTTTATGAGAAACTGTGTTTTGAAACAAACTTAATTACAATATACAAGATATCCTTGGCAATGGATAGTCCTCAATAAAACAGAGTTTCTTCAATTTTCAGTTTTTGGTCTCAAATGATTAGTGTGTTCTCCATGTAATAACTTAGAAATCAGATTGAAAACAAATGACATTTATCTCTTCTAAGGCAAAAGACTGAAAGAAAATAGTTACACTGAAGTGCTCTAGCCTAGCCATTCACTATCCTGCTATCGAAAATCCTGTTTTGGGCTAGGGTGATGGAGTAAGTTGATCAGGTTCTAAGTCTTAAAACTGAGCCAAAATTCTCTTAGTAATTCTTCAAGCTATCATGAGAGTAGGGTGACTTGTTCTTTCAGACCCTTTCTTCTGATATGCATCCTTGTTTATTAAAGTGATAATAGGCAGTGTCATTAAACATTTGTGCTTTACAGATGTTCAATGAGTTATGAATGATTATGGTCAAATACAGGCTGCATTTAGTTAGCATTGTAATAAGGTCTGTGTCTCAGCCTACAAAAGTTTTGACTTGCATATATTTTTGGAAGCTGTTTTTAAAATTGCCATTTTAAATATTACTCAAGGATAGCTGATTTAAATGATCCAATTAAAGAGCAGTCAGGCATATTTTAAAAGAGCAACAGGTCTACTTTAGTTAAATAATATAATACCCACTCAAAAGGATCTTTTCTTTCTTCTAAATGGGAATTATACTGTACTTTATCAGAAGAATATTTTGAGTGAAGGTATATGGTGCAGGGAAATAATTTTTTTGGCCAAACACTTCAGTTATTTTTATTTTTAGAGTGTATCATTGCATATTGTTCAAGGAAAAACTAGGTAGTGTTCTGTTTAAGCCACTGCATAGTTAGGGCTGAAGTCTGATGCTGTTGAATGCCTATGCTCCTACTGGTCTCAGTGAGAGTAAAAAACAATCTTCTATTCATGAAAAAATAGCATCTGCTAAGCTACTCTTTTATTTTGTCATTAATAATATTCATACCTTTGTTTCTCTTTCCTTTTTTGTTTTCTGTGTACATAGGAATCTTTGTTGATGTGCTAGAGCAGTCCTGTTGCAGGCCTGGTATCTCCAGTGGCCTTTTTCCCCCACATTCCTTGCATTTGTCTCTGTACAATACTACTCTACGTGTAATAGGACTCAGTGATAGGAGGGAGGAAAATGAGCTTTTCTGTGTCGAAAGACAATTTCCTTACTAACACTGAGGATGTCAACTCGATGTAAAACCTAATCAAACATGCTGATTCTTTTTATCTTTAAGGTGAACATTTTTTGCAAGCTTTTTCCCCCCCTTTTGATGTTTTTACTCTGTTTTTTTTTTCCTTCCTTTAAAAATAACCACAATTAAGAAACATTTTCTCTCTTTAAGTGCAGTCTTTTATAAATGTGGTAGAAAAGCTCATTCCAAGCGTCCTTTAAGTGCTACATGCTCTTTAGGCATTCACTGACATTCAGATGAAACTTCAAGTCTATTGAATGTGATTTGCATGTGTGCAGTATGATCCTTCACTCCTGCCTTTTTGAGGAAAGTGCAACTCTGTTGTTACACCAGGGGAAAACTGGTGTGGGGTCAAAGTCAGGGCCATATAAGTTTTAGGTGTTTGATAATCAAAACCGTTCATGAATTCTGTTTTACATCCTCACAATTGTTGCCTAGTAAGGCCTTAAACCTGCTCTGGTAAAAAAAAAAAAAAAAGAAAAAATTCTCATTGAGCTCAATGGGAGTTTTTGCCTCAAGGGCTGCTGGCAGGATAGGTGTCTTATCTCCTCCTAACCTTCATTTGTAAGAATGGCCAGGAAAAAATAAACAACAAAAACTTAATACAATGAGTTGCCTTACATTTCCCCTACTATACAGTTGTATTTCTTTGATTAATTTCCTTTCCCCTCACTCACATCCAAGGCTGTGATTGTTTTTTTTTTTTTAATTTTTTTGCACACTACCTATACCAATTAACTGCCTAATTAGTTTTATCTTCTCTACATGGATGCAGTGAATTTGTAAGAGAATTTCACATGCAAGTAGTTTTTTAGTGAGTTTAAAGTAAATAGAGTTTTAAAGACCTATTTTTATATTCAATATAAAGCACAAATGTGCAGAAAATGTAGAATGACTTACAAAAAGGGAAGCAAAAGTTCGTAATATTTCATGTATAAAAGTAATACCTTCTTTGGGGTGAGATTCTCTTAGAAAACCCAATACTTATGCCAGTGCAAAGATAGGAATATTTTAAAAACTCTTAGAAAAAATTGTGATTGACAGCAATTTAAAAGGAATGACTTCTGTAGATACAAGGAAACCCCTAAAGCAATATGGATAAGAAGGGGTGAATGGTTTTCAATGATGAACAACAACCTGGAAGTGTGAGAATGGAGGTTTCAATCCTTATTAATTAATCAAATTTCTTCTTTTGTGGTTAGTTACATCTGGATTTTCTGTGAAGTGCAATCTTGCGGGATGAAAAAGTGCAAGGGTGCCAAAATTCTAAGACTTACGAAAGTTCAGAGGCAGGTTTGATTTAGAATTATTGAGTAAAGATTTAGATTTTGGTAATTCACACTTCCAGTAAAATCAAGACATTGATTTACTGCTTGAAGAAATTTGATCAAGTAATAATGATTAATCCGGGAACTCCCATTGTCACAATTTGTTTTTGTTTCCATCGTCCTGCTTATCTCCAAAACCAATTTGCCTCAACTCCTGGCAAAGCCAGGGAGAAGAGTTATATGCCATTGTTAGTTCATTTACAATTTGTATCTGGTTTTGCTCTTGTATATATGTTGGCGTTTTGGAGTCTTTACATAAATGCTGTGATACTTTTTTTCTTATTTCCTTTTGGTTTTTGGTGGGCTGTTTTAAAATGGAGGCCTGTTTTCCAGTGTGGGACTTTTGATGGTTACAACATTTCAATGATGTTGCATGATGGCCACAGGTGGGGGAAATTGAATGTTTTAGAGCAGTTTTTCAAGCATGACACTTTTAAAATATGTAATTTCAAAGACTTTTCAAGGCCACATGAAATTAGTTTTCATAGCCACTCCAGGTCTTGGGGGGAAAAGCTGAAAAGTACTTTTGTTTAGAAGTCTGAGTGATGGTGGGGGGGAAACCTTTTCTTGAGGTTTTTGCATGCCAGTGCACGGCCTATTGCTGTGAAAGAAAGAAGATGGTAAGGCTGCTTGAGGCAATGCACTGGAGGACAAAGTGTTTTCTAGCACTAGAAAAAGAAAATGCATGGCAAAGTTTTGTCTTCTAGTAGACTATATAGCATGCAGAGTTTAGTATGTGTCAAAACAGTGTATGACATTGCTGTATCAAAGTTGTAAAATTAAGCATTATTTATTGAAAACTATGTATTTTTTTTGTAAAAACCTGATCACCTAGAGGATTAATATCAGTGACTTGTGCTAGTGCTACAAACTTAACCAGCTTCTTTACTACAGTACTTGATATGCAGTGTTAATGCTCAGGGTTGAAACCAGTCCACTCCAATGTCTTTTTTGCAAGAGTTTTTAAATAAAGGAACAACAAAATGCAATTGTTCAAAAGACTCTAATAAAAATGTGTGATCAATCTTCCTATGTGGTTTTATGTGGATTTTTCTTTTTCTGGTGTTGCATTTGGTAAATGCAATTCAGCTATGACAGTGAATCCACTCCTGATTCTGTGGGTGCCTAAAGCTGAAAGTTA